AACATTTGTTATGTTGATTTTTGAAATTCCTCTATATATATATGCATGTACGTGTGGAGAACACCGGCGCCACAGCAGCTGTTGCTAAGGCAAAATAACTGTCAAATAAACATATTTGACACCAATATGTACTTCTGCTTCTCAATCAGCACAATACAAGTATTAAAAGCCAAAACAGAAAAAAAATATAAAAAAAATAAAAAAATATTTAAAAAAAATAAAAAAATATTTTAAAAAAAATAAAATAATAATAAACAACATTTGCGTCCTTCAAATTGGGTTCATTGTGTTCAAAAATGTATTAGTGCAAATAAAAACTAACCTTCCGGCAACGCGCCTACACGCATAAATACAGAGCTATTTACATATATGTACACGCCTATATGCGTAGACGAGCGTACACTTTGTGCAAATATTCAGAATTTTTATTAGCGCTAATCGCAATTTTTTCCATATTTTTTACTCATTTGCAAAATAAACGAAACTAACGAAATATTAAAACGCCGAAAACAAATACATTGCGCAAAAAAGCAACGATCCATTTGAAGGTCTAGCGCGGCAGGCCAGCCGCTTGATAACGTTTGCGTATGTGTTTATTTATGCGCATATATACATATGTATATGTATGTACGTGGTTCTTTCAGCCTTCACACCAATCGAAGTAGGAAGTTTGGCTTTGCACAAACACATAGCAATACTTAACTTGGCGTTATCACTGGCATTTGCACCCGTTCGCAAAGTAGTCTTGCGCGTAGCAGCAAGAGCGCGTTTTTTCTGTTTTTGACGGATGAAAGCACCGTTAGAGTAAGCAAGGTCGGTCGGTCTACGCACTTCAAAAATATTTTTATATATTACGCATAGCCTTGATAGCTCTCTTGTAAATTCCAACTTTTATGTATTTGCTATAATTTGTACCGTTATCAAATATTGGTCCTAAACGTCAATAATTAATTATCAAATACAGTTTATATTCGACAAAGTCATAAATATGTAGCTACTCGGTTGTCTTATCACGCTGCTGTTTAAATTTTAAAGTGTCCACTTCAGGTGGCAATTTGGGAAAACGCTATTACGGTTGTTACTCATCAATTCTTATCAGCGCAAGGCATAAGGCAAGGCTGCGCGTAAACATTTTGCTAGAGCGTGACATTTAAAATACTTGAAAATGTGTTGGAGTAGCGCTGCAAATTGGTATGAGAAGTTATTTGCAGATACTTCAGTAAGATCTAAAAACACTTCTGTGTTCCCTCTTGCCTAAAGGTAGAATATGTTTGGCCTCTGCAACATCAACACTACCCCATGCTACCTTTGCGGTATGCCCTATGTGGCTGGTGTTTCTCTAGAATCCATTGCTTCAAGTAACACTTGTCGAGGCTGAATGGTTTAAGGCAGCTTAGAGATATTGTGTTCTCGTCTGCCTTCGAGCTGACCAACGCGTCCAACTATTCGTTTTCTTTCATTTATATATGACTGGATATCTAGATGATATTTACGGCGTTTCCCACTTAGAGTCAAGTTTTCTGCCTTCTTACATAACCTAATGCAGTGAGACTTAGTATAAGCGCTACGTACAGTCTTAATGGCCGCTTGGTGGTGCACTAAAAGCTTTATTGATATATTAAACAATTTGAAATCCATCAGTGAAATTTATGCAGTTTCGGAAATTTCTATTCCCTCTTCGCTGTCCGTTATGGAAATTGCAAAATTTTGACAGCTAATCGTTCTAATTCCATTTGTTCTTATTTTCATGTATTATATGTGTATACTTATGCATGTATATATTGTATATATTCTTCCTACAGCAATTTTGATAAATATTCAATGCACTAACAACTATTCTGAAGGCTATGTTTATATTTCTAACACTAAGCTATCAAATTCGATTTACTGGCCGTATAAAAAGCAGCCCATTGTAGTTTCTCAGGCAATTGTGTTAATTAACGTAAACAAAACTATAATTTGCTAATTAGTTCTTATAAAGTGTGCACACGTTTTGTTGAGTATATGGTGTGCACGTTCAATTTTTTACGTGAACACTTAGTTAGAATAACGATTACTATACGAAACTGTCAGTATAATTTTTTGAGGTTTCTAGAATTTTTATATACAAGTATGCACACGCAGATATGCCTTTGTATGTATATATGTATTTGCATATGGTGCTATTTTTGCAAGTAAAAGCTCATTAAAAAAAATTCAATAATATCCACACAATTTAAATTATTGTAAAAAAAATGTATTTTAATATCTGTCCGACCCAAGTTGTGTATTATATTTTTAAAAATAAGGAACGCACACTCACTTGAATACCTAAAAATATACAAGCATGTATATCTAGTCCCAAAATACATGCTAATACTTTAATTTTCAACAAACAATATCAAAATTTAAGTAAAGTAAAAGCCGCACATCTAACCCATTTAAGCCAACTTAATCCGCCCAAAAGTTCCAACGAATGTTCTCGAAGTGACGTCTCGAATGCATACTTGACGCCGCTTTTGCTTCTGCCATATCTTCTTCCACAGCGCACAGGCGTAATGTGAGCGGAAAACTGTCAGCGTTAGATGCAAACACACACAAATGCTCGAACAAATGCAATGCAAGAGGTTTGACTCATTGTGAGTCTGAAAAAATCTCATTTATATTAGAAATAACGTGTCAGCTAGGTGCAAGTAGGCGCACATAGCAGGCGATGGAACGGCCTATGTCGTGGAAAACGTGAAAACGAGTGGAAAATTTTTGCACAGAATTCGCAAAGGCGCCGCTGTTGTGTGTGTTTAGGCAAAATGAAATGTAGAAAGCAAGTGAGTGTGAGCGCGCACTACTCAGAGAGAGAGAGATATAGAGAGAGAGAGAGAGCGAGCGCGCGTCAGCTGATTTAGTCTCTAACAGCGCGCCACTAAGCCACACACTTGCGTCTCGCTAACTGTAGCGCTGAATGTCAGACTGCAAGCAGTTTTTTGTTTACTCAATTTTCATATACTTTTGTATCTTTGCGTTACACCTATGTATATCGGCACGTACTCGTGGTAAAAGCAGGCGGCAGATGGCGACGAAATGTGAATTGCTGCTGGTCGTACGAATTTGGGGTGGGCCTGTTACTTGTTCGTCCGGCGCTCACGACGCTCATTGCAGCGTTCTTTCACGAATGTTGCTCACGCTCTCTGTTGAGCGTACAGCGATTACCAGCTATTGCCTATAGTACGACTGACTTTTCATTATATACTTCAGTATTGCTCTACCTGTCGAACTAAACATAACATACGGAACGCTAAGTGAAACGTACGTAAGCCAGAAAACAAGTAGCTAACAGCTATACCACACACACAAGCGCCGCTCACAAATCTGCGCAATATAAATGGTGTGTAAGACGGTCGCAACGACGACGACTTACCGCGTAGTTATAAGTTTAGATACAATTTGTACGGCAACGCGTTGTCGGCGTATCGTATATATTTGTTGTTGTTAATGTCGTGCTTTTCCACACGCTGCTCGCTCGTATAGCTTACTGGCATATACATATGTATATATATATATACATATAAATGTAAAGCGCAAACGTTTTATAGTTATTTTGTGTGAGTTTTATTTTTTTACGCTGTCATTGTGCGCGCGGGTGCACTATTGCGGCCGCCGGTCGCTTGCCGCTGTCGTGCCACGCCACTACAATACGCCAACCGGTGTTAGTGCGCGTCTGCAAAGCAAAAATAATAAAACGTATTAAGCAAAACATTCACACAAATAGCGCGTTGAAAACAGCCAAGTCAACAACAACAAAAATAATTATTGTAAAATAGCCGGTTGTTAGTCGCTCGCTGACTAGCTGGTTTGGTTAGGTGCTTGCGGTGTGCGGTGGGCGGCAACGCTGCGCTTAACCACAGCGCCGCTAGTTTATTATGGTTGTTGTTTTGATTTTATTATGTGTGTGTGTGTGTGCGGCTGACGGACTCGCGTTTCGTTGTTTCGCTTGAAACGTGCGCGTGAAATGTAAATAAGAATCATATCGAGATTTGTTGACTCGTTTTGTCGCTTCTGCTGTGTTGGACGATAGGAAATGTGGGATTAGCTGACGATTTTTTCATGCACACACACACACACACATGCAGCTGTGATGAGGCGTGAATTTGTAAAGTTACAGATAACATTTTAATAAATTTTGGCGTATTTATTCTAATAATACCAAAAGTGTGAAGGTGTAAAGTTAAAAATCGTTAAAAAAAGCGAAAAATATTTTTTAAATAATAAAATAAAAATAAATGCATAAGCAAATAAATATAATAAAATAAATGTGTACACATAAATATGTCTAGCATTTTAGCCACATAAATAAGCTTTAATAGTGAAAGAAAAATTGCCCATAAATTTTGCTGCAACGAAAATTTAAAAAAATTTCAATGTGCGAAAAAATGTAAATAAAATTTGCTACAAAATAATAAAAAATATAACAACGCATAATAAATAATATGAGTGCCTTAAATAATGCGCGCAGCAGTGTATACCAACAGAAACGCCAGTGAAAGGCCACGAATGAAGTGGTGAAACTATGAAAAATTTCAAAATTTCCTCAACACTTGTTTGTTTGTTTTGCTTGCTAAGCTTTATTCGACGCCAAATGTGTAAATTATCAAGCGCTTTTCTGATTCTTGCATATATTTTTTACACTTTGTTCATACAAAGCCAGAAAAGCTGTTGCTGTTGTTGCTGCTGCTGAGTTTGTTTATACAACTGGCAGCGCAGAGGCGCCAGTGCGCATATGTTTGGCGAAAATAAATTGAGTTATGAAAAAATTAAGGAAATCTAAATTATGCACAATATTTGCAAAGTTTTTAAAAGAAATAATAAGCGCAGATTGATATATTTATAAAAAAAAAAAACGGATAAAAAAATTTGCAAAAATTACGTTATTAAATTAAAAGTTGCGCAAAAACAAAAAATTACTAAAAGTGCTGCTTGAATTGGTAGAAAAAAAATATGTTAAAAAAGTGTACGAAAATTATTAATTTTTAGTGCTGGAAACTCAAATAAGCGCCATTTTTTATTTAAAAAATGTGACTGCACCCTTTTTTTAATTTTTTAATTACAAAGTGTGATAAAGTAATGCATATACATATGTATGTACATTCGTTTTTCTAAAAAATTTCATATATGTAGTTGTTGCTGTTGCTCTTAGCTTGTTCAAAAGTGCCGTGTTGACGCTGCCTCTGCCAATGTGGTATATAACAGCTATCACTACACTATAGTAATATATGCCAATAATCATATGAATTCGATTAATATACATATGCACATAAATAATTCAATTAGAAATTGGCTTAATAAACTACATAATAATAACAGAATGTGTTAAATAATTTTATGCGTTCAATCAACAAAATGCAGTAAATTAGTTATTACTTTGTCAACGATAGTCGACTATTATCGCGTGTAATGTGTTTGATTTATGGCTGCTCGCTTACAGCGTGTTCACACGGTAGCTTAATTAACATTACAAAGTTCATGCCTAGTGTATAATGAATTTTTTTATGCATCCTTTCACCAATAATGTAGCGATTTTCTGTTAAAACCAAGCTGTAAACATTACGAATTTTGTCTTTAAAAATATTAAAAATGCAAGATCAAACACCAACAAAATATGCATACGAGTATGCGCTTAAAAAAGTAAGCTTGCTGAGTTTTAAAAATGCGCTTAAAAATACAAAATAAAAAAAATGTGAAGCAATTTTTTTTTGAGCGATAGCGATTTTCATAATATTTATAGCAATGCAATTGAAGCCTTTTTAGAAAGCAAAATCATTGATTTTGCTATGTGTTACTAAAAAAGCGCACATAAATATTGTTGATATGTAAATATGGTATGCATTAATTTTATATGGCCAAAATCTTTTTGATATTTGGTAATAGCAGCAAAACTCAATCTATTTTGTATATTAGCAATAAAAAAGGCTAACGGTACGGTGCAGCCGTAGCTATAATACACTTCACAAAAAAAGTATATAACTTGATTTTGATCGATCAGTTTGTATGGCAGCTATATGTTATAGTGGCACGATCTCAACATTTTTTTCGGAGATTGTAGCGTTGCCATGTACAATAGTATAAGATAAGATAGATCATCACATAAAAAAGTTTTCGCTGCAAGCACTTGATTTGCATCGTTCAGTTAGTATGGCAGCTATATGCTATAATAAATAAAAAAATATAATTTTTTTTTTTTTGTAATATTATTTTACTAAAAATATTTTTTCTTACAAAAAAAAATATTTAAGGCTTTGCATTTTTCATTTCCAACTTTGTGCAGCAAGTGCGTTCTTTAGTGTAAGCTGTGCCTTTTCTCGCAAACAATTTTCTTCCAATGACAGCACGTCAATTAAAATATTTATTCCTTACGCAGCGCTCACATCCTTTTCTGTTAACTGCCTTGCCCGCCACTGCGCTCATTTCACTTTGTTGATTGTTTGCCTCTGCTTTTTTCGCCTTTACCGAAATATTGTTTTTGTGTTAAATATACCAGCTGCGCCGGGTGTTCAATGTCAACGCACACATGCAACAACAACATTGTAAATGCCAGGCATGAAAGAGCAGCCGTCCTTTGCATCACACAATCAACAAAGACAAAGAGGTGCTTCTTAAAGAATACGAAAAAAAAACTAAGCAAAAATAACACCAGTAGCAGCAACAGCTGAGCGGCGTGGTACGCGTCAACTGTTGTTGTTGTTATATTGAGAAATAAAACAACAACTGGAATAAATACCACTTACTTTTGGGTCGTTATGATTTGTGCAAAAGGATAATACAAATACAGTTATACTATAATGAAGCGGTATATGTAGCCATAATCATAAAAACAATAATAATAGCAACAGCAAAGGCTCAAAAGCAACAGCTTTGCCGCAACCACAACTGCTGCGTCTACGCGGTAAGGGTTCTTTTGCTATGCGTTGCTGCACATATTTACAACCACCACAGCTAACGTCAGCGAAACTTACGCACATGGAAACTTTTGAATGTCCTGTGATTCGTAATATGTTGTTGTGTTTCTTATTTGCGTCTTGATTCTTCCTCCACGCACATTTGCCTAGCTTTGAATTTTTGTACTCCACCTCGCATATGCGCCTAGCTTTCTGCGCCACCACTGGCTTACTACGCAGTTATTTTAAGCCAGTACTGCTGTTGTATGTGGTCCTTGATGGTGCGGATCTTTTCCTATACGCGTCTTCAGCATACGCCAGCACTTCTACTGTGTTGCATGTGCTGCTTGGTTGTGCGTGGCGCAACAGCTGTGAAGGAATTCACGCTTGCCTCCATCAATCGCGCGTACGCGCATTGGCTGCGCCGATTTCTTACGCTGTCAATCTTACCTGCTTGCCTTAACCTGAACGCCGCGAGGCTTAAGCGCACTATTTTTTTGTCAGTTTGTACGCTATGTAGTGTGCGTCCTTTAACGCATCCTTCGTGTTGCTTGTTTGTATTATCGCCTGGTCGGCTGTTTGTTTACACTTCTGTCGTCTATATATGTATGTATGAGTATTCTTTCTCTGCTGTTTATTTTTCTCATGAGTCATGAGGTCTCATGTCAAATTCAGCGAGAATTCGCATGTATGACTCATGGTTAGTGCTTGAAGTGGCTATAGCACGTAACTCTGGAGTGAAGCAAACCTGCAATCCCTTTAAAAATATTTTTCTAATAGTGCGATTATACAATGTGGTGTAACACATTTGTTGCTGGTTAGAAAAAATATAATCTATTGAAATTTTTCTTCTGCTATGCAGGGATGCCAGAAAACGAAGTCGCACATGAGGTCCAGTTTTCTCTTCTTAAAGAAAAAAAAAATATAATATTTTTTTATGTTTGCTATGATATTGTATCCAAGGGACAACTTTATAAAGTTAGGAACACATGATGCTTAACGTGGATATTTCATCTGTGTATCACAGCTGTCTTCGATTCGCCAAGCTTTGTAGAGTAATAAATCGAACACTTCAAACAAACTGCCCTAACTAACTAACATGTCCTCTAACGTATGCGCAATTGTGTTGCACTTCTGTCTTTGGTGGAGAGTTTCTTTTTTCCACG